TAATAAACTAGTTGGTTTGGTATTTAGCTGAGGCAAGTTACATGAACTTCCCGATATGTGTAAATAATCGACCTAATCAAAAAAAAAGTTTAAATAATATACTCATCAAAACCTACTTTTAAAAAAACGATAATAAATTTAGCAAAGTTTGACGAATTTTTTAAAATTAAAAACTGTCGTATGGCCGTAAATTACAGTGACCATGACTTGTATCGCCAAAAAAAAAGTTTTAAAAAATCGGCCTAATTTTTTTTTTCAACAATTATTACAAAAAAAACGGCTCGTTAGATTTTCACCTAAAACTAATCAGTATCATTCCCAACTAATATCCTTTCGAACAGTTTTTGATTTTTTAAAATCGGTTCGGTAGGATGAGCTTAGATGTCGACGAAAATTAACACTTTTTTCAACAGTTAATTACAAGAAAACGGCTCGGTAGATTTTCACCTAAAATAATCAGTACCATTCGCAACTAATATCTTACGAACAGTTTTGGATTTTTAAAATCGGTTCGGTAGGATGAGCTTAGATGTCGGCCGAAAATTTAAACACTTTTTTTCAACAGTTAATTACAAGAAAACGGCTCGGTGGATTTCACCTAAAATTAATCAGTACCATTCCCAACTAATATCTTTCGAACAGTTTTTGACTTTTTAAAATCGGTTCGGTAGGATGAGCTTAGATGTCGACGAAAATTTAACACTTTTTTTCAACAGTTAATTACAAGAAAATGGCTCGGTAGATTTTCACCTAAAATTAATCAGTACCATTCCCAACTAATATCTTTCGAACAGTTTTTGATATTTTAAAATCGGTTCGGTAGGATGAGCTTAAATGTCGACGAAAATTTAACACTTTTTTTCAACAGTTAATTACAAGAAAACGGCTCGGTAGATTTCCACCTAAAACTAATCGTAACATTCCCAACTAATATTTTCGAACAGTTTTTGATTTTTTAAAATCGGTTCGGTAGGATGAGCTTTAATGTGGACGAAAAGTTTAAACACTTTTTTTCGAATTACAAAGAAACGGCTTGTCAGATCGTTGCACAAAAACTGACAAATGATAGTCCTCACCGAAATACATTAAATGGCTTTTAACTTTCTAAAATCGGTTCAAGCGTTTTTGAGAAAAACGTCGATCAAAAGTCTAATTTTGACAAATGCCAAAAAGCCCATACTGATTTTTGCAAACTTGACGAATTTTTAAAGCTGAACAGTTGTCGTAGGGCCGTAATATTTTAGTATGATCTAGAAGACCTATGGTATCTACCGTCAAAAAAAATAATCATAAAAATCGTCGAAAATTTTTTTTTTAAAAACTTTATTACAAGGAAACGGCCCGGCCGATCTCTACCAAAAACTAATCAGCACGATTCCCAACAATATCTTTCGAACAGTTTTTGAATTTTCGAAATCGATTCAGAATTGCGGGCTAAAACGTAGACGAAAAATTTTTCACTTCTCTGCGATTTATAAAGAAACGGCTTGGCCGATCGTCGCACAAAATTAGCAAACAATAGTCCTCATCGACATACATCGAATCGAATGGCTTTTAAATTTTGAAATCGGTCCAGCCGTTTTCGAGAAAAACGTCGATTTACGGCAAAAATCTGTTCACATACACGCACAACACACATACACACACACACACATTTTTTTCCAAAGTTGGTCCACATTCGAGTCAGAATGGTTTGAAACGTCGAGAGAACATAAATTATCAATTCGGATTTTTTGATGAAAACATAAACTTCTCCTTCGGGAAGTTAAAAAAACAAGTTAGTGTATATATAATAGTGCAAAATTATGTGCCTTGCGCTAGCTTCTGATGTAAGACCATATTTATATCCACTGATGATGACATAAAATACTATGTCGAAACGTTTGGAAAAATTAAAAATTAACTTCTAAATCTTTGCCTTTTATTTGATGTATACCCTTGAAGAACTTACTCATATCTCTCAACATCACAATTAACTTCTTTAACATATATATATATATATATATAATATATATATATATATATATATATATATATGTGTGTGTGTATTAATTTTATACGTTGATTATAATATTATCATGAGCTGTTTATAAGCCATTTTCATGATAACATGTCAAAATGTGTTATTTTATTACTCATATACAGTTTCTGTTGTTTTATGGCTCACAAATTATTTTTAGACGAACGAATAATAATTATTTCTCATTAATAAAACTAAAACACCATTATATTACATACATATTGTAAACAATTAATTATTTATAATTTTCATCCGTTTTTCCGCCCTCAAATGTTTCTCGTCTACGAATTTATGTCATTTTTATCATTTGGTCTCCGACAAGACAAATCCATTAGTGTTCCAACACTAAAATAAAAATAAACTTAGGCTGGGCCCAAATGACCTGGGCAATTATTTTCTCAAGTACCACAAAAAGTTACCCAGCTTTTGTTCTTTACTACTATTTTGTGGATAAAACTCCAATGAAAAATAATGCCAAGGAAAAATAGTGAAAGTAGAAGCTTTTTTTCAAATATAAGATTGCTTTTATTAACTTAAATTATTTATATAAGTTTTTGATACAGTAAAGTACACAAAAATTTGCAAATTAATATTTTTTAAAATAAAACGATCAAAAATAAATAAACTTTTTTTGCTACTAAATATTAGGGTTTATACAAAAACCGACCTTTCAAAAAACCGGTTTTCGAATTTCAATTTCACTAAAAAAACGGTTTTTGAATTTTATATAGAAAATAAACTTTTGCTCAAATATTCTGTAATTTATCCGTAAATTTAGTGTAATTTAGAGCAGTATTTGACTGAATTCATTTATTGTTCAATTTTATAGATAGTAAACAAAATTATTTTAATTTTAATTAGTTGAACTAAAAATAATAGTTTATCTTGATTAAATAACTTTGAAAATAATTATTCGTTATTCATGCATCATTTTCACATATACGAATGAAAATATTTTTATATTTAGTAAAAGAAAAGTTTTCGAATAAATAAAAATAATACATTTTTAAATAAAAAAATGCATTAAATTAAAAAAAAATTAGATACATGTTGATACATACTTGTTAATATCAATTTTAGTATTAAAAACTATTAAGCTAAACTCGGGTATTGTCTGTTCCGAGCAATTTTAATTAATTCTAAACATTCTAATTGTTTTTTATTTAATGAAATATGATTTAAAAAAACTTAGAACGTCTATCGAATTGCTACTTATTAGACTATCCTTTGTTTACTCGCAATATTTCCTGAAATAAAAAATACTTTCAATCTTCGAACCAAATTATGCTTAATTGTTTTTAAAGCCTGATATAATAATTTTAAGCTTTTTAACTTCCCGAAGGAGAAGTTTATGTTTTCATCAAAAAATCCGAATTGCTAATTTTATGTTTTCTCGACGTTTCAAGCCATTCTGAATCGAATGTGACCAACTTTGGAAAAAGTATGTGTGTGTGTGTGTGTGTGTATGTGTGTGTGTGCGTGTATGTGAACAGATTTTTTGCCGTAAATCGACGTTTTCTCGAAAACGGCTGGACCGATTTCAAAAATTTAAAAGCCATTCGATGTATGTCGATGAGGACTATTGTTTGCTAATTTTGTGCGACGATCGGCCAAGCCGTTTCTTTATAAATCGCAGAAAAGTGAAAAATTTTTCGTCTACGTTTTAGCCCGCAATTCTGAATTGATTTCGAAAATTCAAAAACTGTTCGAAAGATATTGGTTGGGAATCGTGCTGATTAGTTTTTGGTAGAGATCGGCCGGGCCGTTTCCTTGTAATAAAGTTTTTAAAAAAAAAATTCGACGATTTTTATGATTATTTTTTTGACGGTAGATACCATAGTCTTCTAGATCATACTAAAATATTACGGCCCTACGACAACTGGTTCAGCTTTAAAAATTCGTCAAAGTTTGCAAAAATCAGTATGGGCTTTTTGGCATTTGTCAAAATTAGACTTTTGATCGACGTTTTCTCAAAAACGCTTGAACCGATTTTAGAAATTTAAAAGCCATTTAATGTATTTCGGTGAGGACTATGGTTTGTCAGTTTTGTACAACGATCTGACAAGCCGTTTCTTTGTAATTCGAAAAAAAAGTGTTAAACTTTTCGTCCACATTAAAGCTCATCCTACCGAACCGATTTTAAAAAATCAAAAACTGTTCGAAAGATATTAGTTGGGAATGATACTGATTAGTTTTAGGTGGAAATCTACCGAGCCGTTTTCTTGTAATTAACTGTTGAAAAAAGTGTTAAATTTTCGTCGACATTTAAGCTCATCCTACCGAACCGATTTTAAAATATCAAAATTTGTTCGAAAGATATTAGTTGGGAATGGTACTGATTAATT